ATTCAAGTCAAAAAACAGTATGGGGACGAATTGTTCCAGCATTTTTGGCTATGTTTTAGTATTTTTTGGCTGTTCTGGATTTGTCCTTCAGAGTCCCCCTGCAGGAGGACATGCCCGACCTAATGCCAGGGTCCTGTATAAAGTCGCTGCCAGAAGGGTTCGTTGGACAAGGCTGGTTTCGCTGGGCTCGAGGTCCTCCCTGCCCGACCTTAGTCACTGGCGCCCCAGCAGCCGTCGAAATCACCCTGCTTGAACCAGACCTTCTCGCCGTCCTCGACAGTGGCCCGTCGAAGGCTCGAACCTTCTGTTGTCGAGGGCTCGTGGTTGGCTTTGGAGCACATGTCTGCTGCCGCGATCTTGTTCTCATGTCCTGAACCCCAAACTGACTGCGTGTGAGGGTCCTGTATATCAGGGGAGGAAAAAACACACAGACGCAGTGAATAGACGAGTTCCCAGAGAATATATGGGAACATGTGGGAAGTGGGAGGAAGACGAAAAACACAGGAATACACACGCATATTTCTATATATATATATGTATATTATGTCTATTGACTTATTTATATATATATATACATATATGTTCCTCTTCCTATGTTTTTATAAGCCCGGGCGGGGGGAAAACCCGTCACCCCCCCTAAAGCCGGACCCCCGGGATCTGCAGCTTTGGGACGCCTCGAAGCGGCCCCCTGGGCCTCGCAGAGCGTTTTGCCAAGCCTTCGCAGCACACCCAGGGCGATCAGGGGGGTCACCGGGGACGTCCCAGAGACCCCCAAGACAGCACAAGAGCGCTCCAAGAAGCCGTCATACCCCGAAAGATCGCTCCAAAACGTACCAAGAGGCTTCCAAGAGCACCCCCAATCAGGCAACAAGAGGGACAAATCATTGATTCTATGTAGGTTTTTGGTGCATTTAGGGGTTCTCTTCTTTTCGGCTTCCCGGCGCTCCAAGGCGGCGGTCTCCTAGGCGTCCGAAGCCGCCTGGGAGGCTCCAAAATCGCCCCACAAACCATCCGAAAGGGCTTCCAGGCAGTCCAAGAGAGCCCCAAAACGGCACAACAGGGGTCCAAAATGGCCCTGAGAGAGCACCATGGCGGCCCAAGATGACCCCAAGACACCCTTCGAAGCGTTCCAAATCGTGACTGGGGCGTTGAGGGAGACTGCGGTTACAGACAGGTTGGCCTCAGGAAGCCCCAGAGGCCCCCAGAACACACCCAGGAGGCCTCCAGAAGGCTTTAAGAAAGCCTGAGAACTTTGGTGAGGCCCCCAGAGGCTCTCCAAGGAGGAGCCTCCGCAAAAAGAGCTGAGGAGGATGGGGAGAATGCCCAGGGTATGGCGAGAATCAGGAAAAATAAGCATGGAGGAAGGACAACGAACAACATTATGATATCGGCGATGCCAGAAAAGGCAGCAAGGAGTTATCGCTAAATTGTCGGCTTGACCTTCCTGCCACTTCCGCCTGTATACCAAACTCCAAGGACCAAGGTGCATGGCGCGAAGCGCAACTGCAGTCTTGTATTTTTATATAAATATATATAACATATATATATATATATGAGAGAGAGAGAGAGAGAGAATCTGCGGGATCCTGGGCTTTGCCGATTTGCCCATCTACTCGTGTGTCCCGTGGTCTCCGGCGGGGGCGAGGGAGGGGGGAGGAGGAGGAGGAGCGAGGGGGAGGAGGAGGAGGAGGAGGAGGAGGAGGAGGAGGAGGAGGAGGAGGAGGAGGAGGAGGGGGAGAGGAGAGAGGAGGAGGAAGGGAGGAGGAGGAGGAGGAGGAGGGAGGAGGAGGAGGAGGAGGAGGAGGGGAGGAGGAGAGGAGGAGGAGAGGAGGAGGAGGAGGAGGAGGAGGAGGAGGGGGGGGGAGGAGGAGGAGGCCCCTTGACTGACCAGTGGCCCGTGGCCTCCGGCCGCGGCCCCTGGCCGTGGGCCCCCCCCTCTGGCCGTGGGTGGGGATGGTGAAGGCCGCGCTCGCACCGAAAACCATCGCTGACTCGAGTCCCGCGCGCGTTCGACGCGCTAAGTCCAGGGTGCGCTTCCTCCGGGGGATCTCCAATGGCCGCCCCGCGCGCCCGACCTCATAACATGCAAGCACTCGGAGCCTCTTACCGGAGATATTACCATTCCTTTGACCCGTTGGGCCGGCGAATTGGGTTTCAGGCTCATCATGTGTGAAGCAGTCTCGGGCGAAGCGCCCTGCTCGCCCTACAGACACGCCTTGGTGGTGCGTCGAGGAGTGATTCACAGAGTGGCCTTCGGCCTGTCAGCCGCCGTGCCTGGGCCGTGGGTAAGTGGTCTCGGAGAGGCCTCTTGGTTCTTGAGGTCTCTTGGACGGCTTATTGCGTACCTCTCGGAAGCTTTTTGGGGACTTCTTGGCGGCCTCTCTGCGGTCTCTTGAAACCCTCTTTGTTCCCCTATATGTTTCGTGGGCTTCTGGCTTTCTTCCCAGCCGCGTCCCACCCGCGAAGCTCACACGCCTCACCTCCCCCTCTCCTTCTCTTTCTCACCTGCACTCGCGCGCAAGTATACACCTGGCGTGTGAATTGTATAATACGCACACAAGGTGCACGCAACACATACATTCTACCCTCATTGAGACACACGTCCACATACAGCCGCACACGCATCACACACATACACAAGATACGCCATAGACAAAACATACGTGTAGGATTCGCAAGGCGTGGTAGGAGTGGCACTTTCTCGACACCAGAGGGGGTGCGCAGGGGGGGGTCCCTGAGCGCTGCCTCTATCCGTTGCAGGCTCACAAGGCATAGCAGGCGTGGCACATTCTCTACACCACAGGGGGTGCGCAGGGGGTGCGGGCGCTATGCGTGCCAGGGTCGGAAAGCGTGCAAGGCGTGGCACATTCTCCAAACCTCAGGGGATGCGCATGGGATGGGGGCGCCCTGTGTGCCAAGGTCGGAAGGCGTGGCAGGCGTGGCACATTCTCCACACCGCAGGAGTTGCGCAGGGGGTTAGGGCGCTATGCGTGCCAGTGTCGGAAAGCGTGGCATGCGTGGCACATTCCATTCTCCACACCACAAGGGGTGCGCATGGGGGTGTGGGCGCTGTGCGTGCCAGTGTCGGGAAGCGTGGCAGGCGTGGTACATTCTTCACACTGCAGGGGGTGCGCAGGGGGTGTAGCGCTATGCGTGCCAGTGTCGGGAAGCGTGGCAGGCGTGGCACATTCTCGACACCACAGTGTGTGCGCAGGGGGGGTGGGCGCTATGCGTGTCAGGATCGGGAAGCGTGGCAAGTGTAGCACAGTATCCACATGGGGGGGAGTTCGCAGGTGGTTGTGGCGCTATGCGTGCCAGGGTCGGAAGGCGTGGCAGGCGTGGCACATTCTCCACACCGCAGGGGGTGCGCAGGGGGTGGGGGCGCTACGCGTGCCAGGGTCGCAAAGCGTGGCAGGCGTGGCGCATTCTTCACATCGGGGGGGTGCGCAGGGGGTGGGGGCGCTATACGTGCCAGGGTCGGGAAGCGTGGCAGGCGTGCGCATTTCTGCACCACGGGTGCGTGCCAGTGTCGGGAAGCGCGGCAGGCGTGGCACATTCTCCACACGGCGGACGGTGCGCAGGTGATGGAGGTGCTATGCGTGCCAGTGTCGGGAAGCGTGGCAGGCGTGGCACATTGTCAACATCAGCAGGGGTTCAAGCAATGGTATATGAAAAGCGTTCACAATATACATGCAGAAGTCAGAATGCTACCTACGTTCTAAGTGAATACACAAGGATAGAACTATGTATGTAGGAACCGTAGTGTTTTTGTTTTTGGGGGGGGTCCTCTTGGGTCTTTTTGATGCCCCCTCGGAGCCTACTGGCGGTCTCGGGGGCCATCTTGGCGGAAAGGGCTCGAAACTTTAGGGGTCAGGGTCCATCTCGTGGACCTCTCGAGGGAGTCTTCGGGCTTTTTGGGCCCTCGGTGGACCTCGGGGGTCGTCTGGGGCTCCCTTGGACCGCAACGCAGGTAATGTTGAGCTGATACCAGGTGCAATGTCCGAGTGTACGATCTTGGCTTCCTGGGCGAGCCCTCAGGGCCTCCAATGACGCGCCGAGAGGCGCCCACGTGGGCTGCATCTTGGGCCACACTGGAAGTCCGGACCCCCCTGCGTCCCCGAGGCCTTTGAACAAGCTGCGCGGCGATCCCCGAGAGCGCGCGAGGGCGCCCAAGCGCGTCCGGAACTCGAGCCCAGCTCCTTGCGGAGCACCTTCGATGCTCAACGCAGGGAGTTCGAGGAGACCTGAAAACATCCCATCTCGTAATTCGAGGCGTGGTGGCAGATTTAGAAGGAGGGGGTTGGAGGAGGAGGAGGAGGAGGAGGAGAAGAAGCAGGAGGATAAGAAGGAGGAGGAGCAGGAGGAGGAGGAGGAGGAGGGAGAAGGAGGAGGAGGACGAGAAGGAGGAGGAGGAGGAAGGGATGGAGGAGGAGGAGGATAAGAAGGGCGAGACAGATGAATCATATGATGATGGTGGTGATGATGATGATGATGATGGTGGTGGTGATGATGATTATGATGATGCTGCTGATGCCGATGCTGATGCTGGTGCTGCTGATGCTGATGCTGATGCTGATGCTGATGCTGATGATGATGACGATGATGATGATGATGACGATGACGATGATGATGCTGATGATGATGATGACGATGATGATGATGAGCATTATGCTGCTGATGATGGTGATGATGATGATGGTGATGATGATGATGATGATGCGGATGATGATGATGATGATGATGCTGATGATGATGATGATGATGATGATGATGATGATGATGAGGAGGAGGAGGAGGAGGAGGAGGACGAGGAGTAGGAGGAGGAAGAGGATAAATAGGAGGAGAAGGAGGAGGAGGAGGAGGAGCAGGAGGAGGAGGAGAGAGAAGAAGGAGAGAGAAGGAGGAGGAGAGAGGAGGGAGGAGGGGGAAAGGTGGGTATAGGAGGGAGGAGGGAAGAGGATCATGAGGAGGAGGCTCGACCCCGCCCTCGCGGGCCGCAGGCGGCGCCCGTGGCTGGGAGCGCCTCCGGCGCCCCGCGGCGTTCGACGGGGTCCTCGCGCGCGCGGTCGCGGAGGAGCCCGAAGGACCCTCGCCCCGCGGGCGCTGACGGGGGCACGGGATCGTCTTTGTCGGGGGTCGAGGGTCGAGGGAAGAAGAAGGGGGAGGGAAGGAGGAGAAAGAGGAGGAGGAGGAGGACGAGGAGAAGGATGAGGAGGAGGGGGTGGGGATGATGACCAAGATGTCGCGAGGTCGAGTCGATGCCGATCTTTCGGGGGTGGACAGACCCCCAACCTGACACGTCGATTGGTGAATTGTCTGTTTTCGGTTTGCGAGAGGGCGCCGCGGCCGTTGTTTTCCAGGCTTGCGCCCGCCAAGTTTGGGCCCGAGGTTGTTTTCACTAAACCACGTTTTGCTAAAGGAGTTTCCATCCCCGATTTTTTTCTTCTGGCGACAACGGGCGTGACAGGGGGGGGGGGAGGGATGGGGCGGGTCACGATTCGCGCCGGCGCCGTCTGGGAATGCTCAGGTTTATCAGGTTCCCACCCGGCGCCAGCGCGACTCGTGCCGTACGCGACCAGGAGTGCGGGGAGGGGCGGGGGGGGGTGGGCGGGGCTGGTCACTGGCGTTACTGCCAATGATGAAAACTCGAGCTCCAGAGCTGGGGAGGCGGGGCCCCCCAAACCCAGACTCCGTCGCTTCGCGCAAAACAAAAATCACGACGGGACGCTTTGGCAATTTTCGGCCCGTGGGGGCCCTCAACGGGCCCTGGGGCCGTCAAGGAACAACTGCGGATGAAAACCTGGTCCCCAGGAAGGGGCCCAGACTTCTGGGGGGGTCCACATCATGAAGATATCACGACGTCGGGAGCCTGGGAGTGGCGCGGTGGCCACGTCGTGTGGTGAGTCAGTGGGGATCCGAGGTGGCCGCAGGGTTTTGGGTCTCGGGTCGACCTCCGAGGGCGCCTCGGGCGGCTGGAGCCTCCAGGGCCCCAACACTGTGCGGTGACGGGCCATGCGGCGAGGCAGTTCGGGATTCCGAGAGCAGCGTGTTCAGACAGCTTCGGCTCTCCCGCCTGGCCCGAATCCGCTCAGAGTGGGCCCCCTGGAGCCCTGCTGGAGTTCGTCCTGGCCTGATCTTCGCGGCGGATCCAGCCGCGGCGGCGAGAAGCGGGAGGGGATAGATCAGAAAGGGCAAGGGGACATGGGGAAGGGAGGGTTACGAAGCCGGCTGCTTGCAGCTGGTTTTAGCCCCACCGCCGGGCGCTTTCATCGATGCACAGGCTCCGCCCGCGCCGGGAGGCGCTGGAAAAACCAGTTACGTGAGCTCATCCGCTATAACTCCCCTGGCTATACTACACTTAGCTCGATCCCAACAGTTACGACGGTCGGGACCTTTTGCTTGGCGTGTCGCGCCGCCCGCTCTGGCCCACCACGCTTCGGCGCGTCTCGCTGACCACGCCCCAGTCGCCAGGCGTCAACGTCCCGAGCCTTCCAGCCTTCCGCCCCTCGGAGCGGAGCGACACGCTACCCGCTTGCAGGGCACAGGTGTCGCCGGGGACGCTGCCGCGACACGCGAACCAAAGGTCGAACAGTCTCCGACCGTAGGGTTTACATGCGGCTGCCTGCATGAAGAGCAACGCTTTGGGCGGACCTAGGCTCAGGGTGGATGCATTGACCCCCAGCCGCCCATTGACCTCCGACAGGGCCCGATCGCCCACCCTGCCTGGGAACGTGCGGATGTGCTATCGGGGGCCTATCGCTGATCTGCCGGCAACGTGCGTCTCTCGCCGATTCCAGGTCAATGCCCTCTCCCCCCCCTGAGCCGGTACCCCCCCTGAGCTTGCCCCTGACGACGTGCTGCTGCCTGCGGCCGCTCGCCGGTGCCTGCTGCCCGAGCCACCGCCCTGCGGCCACGGGCGCCGCGCCTGCGCCAGGCCGCCGGCGTTCTCGCGCGCGCGCGCGCGCGCTCGCCAGGAGAGCCCGCTGCTGGGCGGCGAGCTGCAGGCCGGGGAGGAGGGTGCAGGGTCAACGCTGGGGGGGGGGGATACATCAGAGGGGGAAAGGTACCCATACCGCTACCCTCCGCCCGTTTTCCCCTTTTGGGGCGTCCTGGGAGGCCCTCGTCGCCACCGCTGGATTCGCCTCGAAATCCCGGTCAGGACGCACCCCGGGAGAGGTCCGGGGAGCAGCGGCATCGGTACCTGTTGCTCTCCCCAGGGGAGGAGGGTGCAGGGGCAACGCTGGGGGGCATCGAGGCGCAGGGGGGATATGGCACGGACCCCCCCAAAATCGCCCATGGGCTGCCTGTACAGGGGCCCGAGAGCCCCCGCGCGCCCGGGAGCCTGCGGCTCCGCCCTCGGGGGCCCGCCGCCGGCCTGTCGGCGCATCGCCGCATCCAGGTCGAGGCCACCGGTGCGCCGCCTTCGGGAGGCGCGCGGGGGCCGCGCCCGAGCGCGTGCGGTGCCGCTCGCTGCCGCATCGCGTGCGGCGTGCGGCAGGCCGAGCGCCAGAGGTCCCTCGTGCCTCGTTGGCTATTTTTGAATATTGGGGGTATTTTTTGGGGGTATCTTTTATTTGTTCGTCGAAAATCCCCCTACGGGGGGAGTTTCGACGAAAGCTGCTGCTCGAGAGGGGAGGGAGGGGGGGAGGGGGAGGCCCGAGCGCCGAGGCCAGCCCCGGCAAGGGCACCGTGCAGCACTCCCGGGCGGCGGTCGGCATCGGCGGCGGGTGA